AGCAGTGTTACTGTCAGAAAAGGGTCCACTGAGACGCTGACCATAGGCAATGGTCAAAGGGAAGCGAGAGGGGGATCCGAAAGAGGAAGATTGCAGTCTGTACGACTCCCTAAATAGGAGGCTAAGTTTGACCAAAACTCTTTTTACAACGAATACGGTTTACCGCTACTCAATTAGAAGCAGTTGAAATTTATTTTTCCAAAGAGTTATCGTATTTCTCTTTCTTTCAGAAAATAGAGTTTATTTCCAGCAGTGGTGGTGGGGGAGGGATGAGAGGTTGGAGTTCAAAGCTACACCTGCATCGCGTGGGGGAAGGGATATATGTAAATAGAGTGCCCAATTAGCGTTTTTTAAGCTAAATACCATTGACACTAAAATAAAGTCTTTCATTCATTCGTGGGAGGTTGGAGTTCAAAGCCCCTTTCCAAATATCAAATAATTAACGTTGTTAGAGGCCGAAATTCACTTCAACATTCCTTACTAGCTACATTTGCAAGACAACTTTTGCCATGAAATGACTGGATCAGTTCAAAGAGGAAGATCGCTGATCAAGCTCTTGTTGAAACACGAATGCTTTGTTTATGACCCTCAGCTTAATTTCTCTAAAAGTTAACTTCTCCTTAGAATTAGACCAGGCTTCGTTAAAATAATATACCTCTAGATTTTTAACCTTTGCTGCAGCTGATGTTGACATAGTTATTTGCACATTGCTTCGAAAACAGTCCGTTATGGACTGTTATCTTTGGAATCGCGCGCGAGCAAGTCGATAGTAGAGCTTTAGGGTTAAAACACTAAATGGTACTTTTTTATGCAAGCGTCAAGGACCCCTCCCTGGACTGTCAGCTGTAACATGCCTGGCCTTTTGATACCAAGAACAATTATTTGACTGCCAAAAGAAACACGACTTCTACTTGTATGTCCTTATCGGTTGTAACTTCCTTCAGGCAGTAAGGTAGTCAAGAGCTTGTGCTTGAATGAAGAAGTCAAAACTGTTGCAACGAAAGCAGGAAGCTTTAATGTGAAAGTCAAAAAGCCATGACTTTTGGGTTTGATTTTGACAGGTCGACGAGTGAGAGGCTACCAATCAAATGCGTCCCAATAAGCTTTCAGAGCTAAAGTTTTTATGACACTTGAATGAAGTGAATTATCATTATGCGAGATGAAACCGCAAAGAAAGCAGACAAATTAACGTTGTCTCAGTCAGTCACGAAAGTACGTCTCGATAAATTTTCCTTCAAAAAAGGCGGTAACCTGTTAGTTTTTTCATTACTTATTTATCCTGTTTTATTTGTGCAGGTAAGGTGGAAATTCGAGCCACTTAAAACAAC